AGGAAGAGGCGGAGGAAGAATAGGAGAAGGAGGGAGCTTGAGAGAGGGAGAAAAAGAAGGAGGAACTGATAGCTGGAACAAGAAGAGGAGGCATAAGATGAAGAGGGAGAGGAGGAGGGAGAGCTGCCAATCGATACCCGTCACCAGGGAACTGAATGGATGGATCGACGAATCCGAAGGGAGGGTGACAGAGAAGGCGGTTGGGGCGGGGTGGGCTTGGGTTGACAGAGAGGCGATGTTGAGCAAGGCCGGCAGGCTGGTCGTGAGTCGTGAGCCCTGTGCCTTGTGGCGAGCGAAGCACGCATCGACAAACACATTACACACTACTGAGGGAAATACACGCACACACACACACGCACGCACGCACAGACGCACACACAGTACTCACTCGCGCAATCGGGAGAGGAAGAGAGAGGGAGGGAGAGAGAGATGGACTGTGCTAGTGCTGGATGAAAAAAATCGACCTGTGGATATGGAGAGGGGAAAGAATAGACGGTGAATGGCGTTGTGGACACAACACCGAGAATGAGAGCACGGACTCGCTGTGTGTCTACAGGCGTCCGAGAGTATTATTACCGCCTTAGACATAGTCCATTACTTCCAGCAATGTCTCGGCAGTTTTGCTGACATTCTTGACAAGAGGATTTCTAATTATTTTGATCCAACGCGAAAGAAGCAATTAATAAGCAAAGGGCTGGGTGATTTATAATTAATGTGGATTTGAGTTCTGTGATCGTGTTGGAATACAACTGCGAGAATTTATTGTCGTTTCTGCAGCACCCCTTTGAATCTGATGCATCATCAGGTAGGTATGTGTTTTATTTTGCCTTTGGTCTCTGTTCTCAAGATTTCCTCTGCGGCGGTTCAGTTGCTTATGGATGGTTAGCGGTCTCCCAAGTGTGGCTTACTCCTTCTTTCTTATCAAACATGTATCTTCCTTACTACTACCGCCTCCTTCTTTCCTTTGCACCGGTATGTTACTTTCTGATAATACGATTATTCTTCGGTTCTAATATTATGACCTAATCTAGAAAAGATCTAGATCTAGATATCTAGATCTATGTGTTGCAAGTCCTGTAAAACTGAACTCTTACTAAAAACTTGAATAGTTAGAGGGTTGTGTTTTTTTGGCCGAGCTTCGTATGGATCTGTCGTCTGTCTGCAGGTCTATAGTATTAATTAGTGATTATTCCTGATCTGTATCTGTTCCATTGTTCCGTCGTTGCTGGGAGTAGTGTTTATGTTGTCCGTTACCACTGTTACTGTACTGTGGTGTAATGGTGTAACGGCTAAGGCGCTCCACCGTAGCACGCAGAAGACCTGAATTCGATTCTTGAGTCGAGAGAATTTTAATCAAATATTTCGGTCTTTCTTCTGGGAATTTGTATTTCTGTCTGCTTGTGTTTGCCTTGACAAGCAGAGTCGAAGCGCGCCTCTTAAATGATCTAAAGTTTCTTGTGTCGATAGGAGCGTAAAACATTTACATAATATATTCTATATTATAGTGATAAATATAGTGTTACTCTGTTGTCCTTGCAGAATGCTAAACGGTGCTCAGGTGCGGTAAAACAAACCATAATACACGATGATAAAACACCTCATAAAAACAAATAGGGTCGTAAATGCGTGAAGTGCGCTATATATCTCCTGTCATGCAGAAGTAAATGATTGGCCCATGATGCTTACATGAATTTCATATCCTCATGCGGCTATTATAATTATATAAATTAAATGCTTCGCTTACTCCGTTAGCGAAATTTTTAAAAAATACAGGTGTGAAACTGCATAGAGATTTAACGTCCCTTGCAACACTGTAAGCTTATAATTAAGAGGCGAGACCTCCGAAATTTACACCCTTCTCCGATAGGATTGAGCCAAATGACCCCCCCCTCCC